TTTTTTTACCATTCATAAAAATAAAATTATCCATTGCTACATCTTTTAGGCTTATTATAATTTTTTTCTAAAAGACTCCAACCAAGAATCACCCTCCATACTGGGGAATAAAATTTTAGGAAAAACCTATTTAAAAAAAAAAAGAGACAAAAGATCGCAAAAGCCTCAAAAATAGAGAGTAAAAAAAAAGACCTTTACAAAAAAAGAAAAAAAATAAATGCCACAAATGATTTAGGACAAAATAATAAGAATCTTTTTGTGAGAAATAAGATGAATGAAAAAAAAACCAGTGAAATGATGTGGAATGGGATAAAATGCCAAGTTACATTACATGATGAGAAACGATCATTTGGTTTGAACCATTTAAACATATATTTTGAGCATATTTTATCTATTTTTTTCATGATCTCTCACCATAACCTACATTACAACTTTTAAAAGTTCATTTTGATCAAAAATGAATGTTCGAATTGAATGATCATATATTAGACTAAGACATGCTTGTGATGGAATAATAGAATTATCTATGTTTTTGTATTTTAGAGATTGATGTATGAAAGATACTAATAATAGATGAAATAAAAAAATGAAAAAAGTAAAAAAAAAAAATATGAAAAAATGAAAAAAAAGAGACAAAAGGAAGACTTAAATTGAAAATTTAAAAGGGCGATTTAGGTAGAAAAAATTTGAGCTGAAAACTAGAAAGACAATTAAATATATAGAAGATCAATGTCATCTGAAGATCCCCCGAAGTTGGGGCAAAGTTGAAGGAGCTCAAAATGATTTTGAAAATCAATTGAATAAGTTTTAGAAAAAAAATTCTAGATTAAGGTTAAAATTGTCTGAATATTCATTGTTTGGACATTTTTATATCATTTAAATACTTATCCTAGTGAGATACTTTGAATTTGTTCCTTTACCTATTTATTTTTGTACCAGACTCATTCTTAGATCATTACCTTTTCTCTCAATTCACTTTACTCTCTCTCATTTTTGCTTCCTCAAAATAAATAAAAAAAAATATGATTGCATTATATCTATCACAAATTGAAAATGATAACGAATGAATGACAATGTCCATAAGAGATTCATGGATTTCTTTGAAAAGAAATTCAGGATGATAAGGGCAAAAAAATGAAAAAGATGAAAAAAAGCTAAGAAGATGATTTGAAAAGGTAAATATAGTACCTAAGTGGTGAATATGGTGATGGATCAACCAATATAATATGTAAGTTGTGACCAAATGCTGGAAATAATATGGATCAATTAATGAACTAATTCTAAAAATGTTAGTGCTGGAAAATTAAAAAAAAATGTGAGATGGTGGAGTCTTGAGAACCGTATTACTACAATCAATTAGAATTTCATGATGTTGATTATAGTGATATTTGCATTGCATTGTTGTTTGAATAATATATGTACATAATTCGATGAATATTCAAATTTTTATTTTGATGATTGCATTTGCATCATGGTTTAGTCATACATTTACATCATGTAGTAAATATTTGAATAATGGTTTAGAGTATGACATCTGCGTTATTGTGAGAATCTGGGTTGTTGCATTTGCATCATTGAGAAAACATTTGCATCATTATCATACAAAATTTGACTTTGGTAGGAGAATTTTGAACTTTTGAAACCTCAAATAAAGAAAATTTTCATGATGAGATTTTTTGATGAAGAAAACATTCCAAATTTTAAAGTTGTGAAGTCTTTTGAAAGAGTATTTTCAATGTTGAGAATGATTTGTGAGACTTCTAGACATAATCTCTAAGAATTTTCAAATGAGAATCTTTGAGTTTTAAATGAGAATCTTGAATTTTTTTTTATTTTTATGTGAATCTTCAAAGTTTTTGAACTAGAATCTTTGCAATTTTAGATGAAACCTTAAAACTTTTGAATGAGAATCTTTAAAATATTGAATATGAAATGCTGAAGTTTTTTGAATGAGAATCTTTAAAATTTGGTCGTTAATCCCTAGAAGTTTTCGAATACAAATCTTTGAATTTTGTGAATTTTCAATTCTTGTAAACCGTAAAATCTTGAAATCTTCAATTTTTACGAATTTGAGTTCTTGCGAATCTTCAATTCTTGCAAACTTTTGAGTTTTTGCAAATATTTAATTCTTGCGAATCGAAAATCTTGAGAATCTGAAGTCTTGCAAACCTGTAATTCTTACGAATCTAAAAGGTTAAAAATTTAAAAATTTTAAAAATCTAAAAATCTTGTGAACCTTTAAAATCTTACAAATCAGAATTCTTGATCAAATCTGAAAGTTCTTACGAAATTTTAAAATTTTTGCGAACCAAACATTTTTGCAAAGCTAAAAATTTTACGAATCTAAAATTCTTGTTAATCTCTAATTTTTAAAAATTTGAAATTCTTACAAATCTCCAAATCTTGTGAAGCTTTAATTTTTACGAATTTGAAATTCTTGTGAATTTCCAATTCTTACAAATTTTCAATTTTTGTGAATATTCAATTCTTGCAAATTTGTGTTCTTGCGAATCTGAAATTCTTGCGAATCTTTGAATCTTACGAATCTTTGAATTGTGAATCGTTGAATTTCAAATTTATGATTTTTTTGAACTCAAATTGTGAATCTTTGAGTTTCTACTTGTATTGTGAATTTTCGATTATGAAATTTTTGAATGCTTGAAATCGTGAACCTTTAAAGTTTTGAAATTTTGTAATATTATGAAGTTAGACTCGGACATTTTGGGTGTCTATGTTTTTGTGAATTCCTGTTTCACAGAAACTGTGCAAAAAAAGGCAACTGTAGACACCCTATTTTTTATTGGGTTATCATCGAATCTCAAGTTAGTTTGAATTGGACTTTAGACCTAACCTATTTGGATTTGGCTTTATCATTTGAGTATTAAGCTCATATTATATTTTGGACTCAATGCAAGCCCATTTGTTTTATTGTTTTACTTGTTTATTGTTACTTTTATCATTATTCTAAAAATAAATAAAAAGATAAAAAAAAAAGATAAAACAAGTGATAAGATTTGGTGGATTAAATTTTTGAAATTCAATTGTTTCTTAAAATCAAAATTCAAATTAAAGGTGATAAGATGCTTGATTTTTTTGATTTGAAATCCTATCTTCATTAGGTTACATAAACCATCATTCAAAGCTAGAAGAAACATTGACAATAGACCTTCAGCAACACAATCCAAAGACATAATCCTGCAAACAATTTTCAAATCACCAACTACCAAAAATCAATTAGTCAAGACCCAAAACCCAGAATAGTCGAAACTCAATAGACAATCAAAATACAAAAAACTACAATCAACCTAAGATCAGTTATAATAAGCAGCAAAGAAGGTAGTGGTGGTTGTGACTCATGTCGGCGAAGTGATGATGATCAAAGATTAGGGTTTCAGGTGTAGAATTTTGTTGTGACTCACATCGACAGAGCAATGGCAATCAAAGAGTAGGGTTTCAAGTGTAGGATTCTTGACTGAAATTTTGAAGTTGAAGAAAAAAAGAAGCAAAAAACAAAAAAGAGGGTGGTAATGATGACCTGTGGCATCGACAGTCTCGGTGATGCATCAAAATCTAGAAAAACCCATTGGTTTTCTTAAAGTTTGAGTTTCATGGTTAATTCTGTAGATAAAAAAAGACAAAAAGAAAATTGTAGAAGAAAATAAATAAGAAAGGCTTGAAGGGTTAATGTTGTCCCAAATGCAATGGTTTGGATTATAAAAAAAAGATCGGGCCGTTAACTATTCTAGTCATGCACCAAGTTAAGTCAAATTTTTAATTAAGCTGAGTCAATTCATTCTTTTAGGGTTTTTTTTATTATTTTGCTCATTTATTTAATATATATTTTAATGAATTTTCTTTAAGAAAAAATAATTTAAAAAATAAAAAAAAGTTAAAATATTAAAAACAAAAATAAGTAACTTCAATAATAAAAAAAAGGGTTTTAAGAAAAAGTTGAAAGTATCAATTTTTCTTAGAAAATAAATTTTTTATCAAAAAATAAATTTCACAAAAAACATTTTTAAGGAAAATTTGAAAGTATAAAATTTTCTTAAATAAAAAAAAGTTTTAGGAAAAAATGAAAGTATAAATTTTCTTTGAAAAAAATAAAAAAATATAAAATTCAAAAAAAATATTTCAAAATAAACGATTTAGGAAAAAGTTGAAAGTATCAATTTTTCTTAAATAAATATCTTCCTAATTTCCAAAAATGTATTTAGGAAAAAAGTTGAAAGTATTAATTTTTTCTTAAACAAAAGCATTAATTTTTTTAAAAAATAAAATAAGAAAAAAATCTTAGGAAAAAGTTAAAGTATTAATTTTTTCTTTAAAACTTTTAAAATGTTAAATAATCAGATGACGGAACCTCTGCAAGAAAAACAACAGTTTTCTTGTATATTTTTTAGGTGAGGAAATTTTTTTAATTTTCTGCTAAAAGTATTGGAGTCAATTAAAAATAATTTTTAATAATTAATTATCTAGTAAGATTTTTATGGCTTAATGGATAACACAAAATTAAGTTGGTACCATCTTTTGATGAGCGTTGGGGGGTGCTAAAACCTTCTTCACATGTAATTATATTTTCGGACCTAATTCTGGTTACTTTTTAAAGATACTTAAGTCAAACTTATGATTTCTATTTAAAAAAGGACAAATTTAATTAGATGTACAATCACACATAAATAAAAAAGATTGATGGTGACTTTTTAAATTAATATTTAATGATAAATTCACGGATTTAGACATTATAACACTAATAATTTTCAAGTTGTAGTTAGAAGTTGTAATAGCTCGAAAATTTTCATTATTAAAAGAGGAATTAAATAATGAAGTGTGTTTTCTTCCTCTTATAATTTTATAATGTTATATAGAAAAATGGGACAACCCCTGAGTATCAATTAAGTAGAGCAAGGGCAATTATCGTCCCAACCACTTGCGTGTACTCTACCCCTATAATTTCTCCGTATCTTTCTCCCCTTGGTAGTATATAAGGGGAAGGCCATTAGATTTCCTTTAAAGCTTAAAGCAATTGTGTGTTTTAACCTCACTTCAAGGATTATATTGTCTCATTCTTTTCTTTTTTCCGTTTCTCTCCTGCTATTCTTCCAATGGAATTTGAAAGTGCTCTTCAGTTTCTTGATAACAAGTCCATTTTAGTCACTGGTGCCACTGGGTTTTTGGCAAAGAGTAAGAGTGTCATCTCTCTCTTTCTCAGAGTAAATCAAGTAGGGCTTATTTCACAATGAATTTGCTTTGTTTTGAATGCAGTTTTTGCGGAGAAAATACTAAGAGTTCAACCCAATGTGAAGAAGTTATATCTTCTTTTAAGAGCAGCAGACCATAAATCTGCCATTCAGCGTTTGCACCATGAGGTATGGCTCTTGTCCTTGCAGCCCATGATGCTTGATTTCTGCTCTTTCTGGTGCACAAAAGTTCTTGCCTTCTTTTTGTATGAATAGCTTAACAGTTAAATTTGTTGTTACTCACGCTGAATGTATTGTTGTTTTTTTTCATAGAGTTTTATGCAACATGTGGTGAGTAGTGGTTTTTTTCTTTTACAGATTATAGGGAAGGACCTGTTCAAAGTTCTGAAAGAAAAATGTGGAAAAAATTTCATTTCATTTATATCAGAAAAAATTACTCTAATCCCTGGAGACATCTCCCAAGAGGATTTGGGTGTGAAAGATTCTAATTTGGTAGAAGAGATGTGGAAGGAAGTGGATGTTGTGGTTAACCTTGCCGCAACAACCAACTTTGATGAAAGGTACTATATATAGATATATATATATATATATAATTAATAGTAAACCGGTTTTCCAATAATCATTTAAATAAAATAGTAATATATCTAACAATTTGAGGGTTTTTTTTTAATGTAGATATGATGTTGCACTTGGCCTGAACACATTGGGAGCCAAATATGTTGCAAACTTTGCCAACAAATGTGTCAAACTAAAAGTTTTGCTTCATGTATCCACAGGTTGTGAAGACAATCATTTTTCAGATTTTCTCTTCCTTTTCAACCAAATATATATTTTTTAATATGCATGGTTTTATGTATATAATTGTAAAACCATTAATATTTCTATTTAATGTTTACTAGTATACTAATGTTTTTGTTGTTTTTACAGCTTACGTGTCAGGGGAAAGGTCGGGACTCATACTGGAAAATTCATACCGCATGGGAGAAACACTTAACGGTGTATCTGGCTTAGACATTAACATTGAGAAGAAAGTCATAGAGGAAAAATTAAATGAACTAAGATTGCAAGGAGCTTCCGAGAAGGAAACTACTCAAGCCATGAAAGATTTGGGCATTGCGAGGTTTGTGAAATCGAATCCTTTGATCTTTAAATATAGGTAAAAGGGTAAAAAAAAATCTTTAAATTAAAATTTAATAATCATTTAAGTTTTTTTTTTTTTTTGCAATCAATTAAATTCTCAAAATATCTATTTTCATCAATTAAATTTTCATTAGAAAAAATGATAATTATTTTTATTCAATCGAGAGTTTAATTAAGTAAATAAATATATATATATATTTATAAGGATTCAAGTGGATAAAAATAGATATTTAATGGTTCAATTGATTCGAAATAAAAAATTTAAGGTTTGATTGATCAATTGATTCAAAATAAAAAATTTAAGATTTCATTGATTATAATAAAATGTTACAAACTTAAATAATTAATGAATTTTTATTTGTGAGATTTTTTTTTTACTTTTATGCCCTAAATATATCAACATAATCAACAATTATGTAATTTATTGATAAAATATTAAAATATTAATTTTAATAATTAAAATTTAATTGTTAACCGTTTCAAATATGTATATATATATATATATATATATATGAACATCAAAAGTAAGGCTAAAATGAACATAATAGTAAATACATATTTTCAACTTCTTTTACCCTACAAATTTTAACCCTAAAATGGTCAAACTTCGATATGAAATGCAAGTGCAATATCTGCTGGTGCCAGTAAATTAAGTGACTCAACTCACGTAAAATTTTCATTATATAAAGAGGATAAGATTCGCATGCATGAGGTTCACATGATACTAACAAAAAAAACAGGTCCACCCTATTCATAGGCTAAGGCTTTATGTTTAGTGTACCACAAATAAAGGCGATTGTTCTGTTTAGGATTCTACGTGCTGCTGTCGGCCATACTCATTCATGAAATGTTTCCTGTTTGTTTTTTCCATCTCTTCATTCATTCGGCAGCGTATTTAAAACTTTTATGGAGTACATATTTATAATATAAAAAAAATCGACGAATTTATTAATTTTGTTTAAAAGATATGTTAATAAAATTTTTTTTAAATGTTCAAAAGATAACTTTTTTAAAATTTTTTTATTTTTTACTTTTTAAAAAAATTCATGGATACCTTACTCTAAAGCATGCTTCCACCGCTATCTTCATTGTCAATAAAAAAAATGTTCCCAAAAATTAAAAAAAAAAAAAGGTCGCATCATTCATATTCATTTCGTCGAAGGTCTTAGGTCTCCACAATTGTGATAATTTACGTAGTATCCTCAAAATATTTGTTGCCACGAAATATAGCAATTAGGTCCTTCAAAGATAGCTGACTCTCCACCAAATATAAGACCACCCCAATTGATGAAACAAAAGCATATATAGAATGATGTCCCCAGACCCTTTTCCTTCGTGTACTCTTGAGTAGGTTAAACTTTAAAATCTAACCATTAAAAGAACTACACTATGCCATTCTTGAAACTCATGATTTCAGGTCTTATTTATGTCTTACTGATAGACCCACAAAAAAAAATCATAATAATTATTTGACTTTTTTTTTTTTTTTGAGAGTATGGCGGAGAATTTTGACTTCTAGTGATGTTCTAACAATTAGTTAAGTTAAATCAGGGCAAGGTTTTATGGATGGCCAAACACATATGTATTTACAAAGGCAATGGGAGAAATGTTGGTGGGGGTTTTCAAAGAAAATATGCCGGCAGTCATCATACGGCCTACCATCATAACTAGCACTTACAAAGAGCCATTCCCTGGTTGGACTGAAGGAGTCAGGTAGGCTACAGTAATTAATATTATCAGGATAAAAGAAACGAAAGATTCATGTTTTGCTTAATTGAAATTATTGAAAATTGACTCAACAACTAATTCTAATTCTTTGTGGTTACATTAGAACCATCGATAGCCTTTTAGTTGGTTATGCTAAAGGAAAATTGACAATCTTCCTCGCAGATTTGGAGTCAGTTGTTGATCTGGTGAGTTCAAAATTATTCTCCATTTTTCTTACGTACGTAAAAATCTTTGGTTACTTAACTTTGATCTGATACAAAGTATTTGCCTAGTCTAAGAGTCAAAATCAGATCAAAATCTTGGGCTTTGTTAATTTCTCCATTTATGTGATGAATTTTCTTTGGAAGAATGAAATTTTGAGGGTTGTCTTAATTTGGCAGATACCAGCTGACATGGTGGTGAATGCCATGATTGTAGCCATGATAGCTCATGCATCACACCAACCATCCGAGGCCATCTATCAGGTTGGTTCATCAATGAGAAACCCTATGAAATATCGCAATCTTCATGACTTTGGCTTCCGTTACTTCAGCAAGAAACCTTTGATCAACAAGGATGGAAAGCCTGTTATAGTTGGCAAACTTAGAGTTATGGACAGCATGGCTAGCTTCCACAGATATATGGCACTTCGATACTTGCTGCTTTTGAAGGTGTGAACGGCCAACAAGAAGTCCTCCAATTAATCCTTTAATGAACTAATTAATTGATTGATCATTTTTTTTTCTTGTGCAGGGATTGGAATTGGCAAATACAGCATTTTGCCAATTCTTTCAAGGTGTTTACAGCGATCTAAACAGGAAGATCAGCTTTGTTATGCGATTGGCAGACATTTATAAACCATACTTGTTCTTCGATGCCATGTATGTCTCTTCTAAATTCTTATGTTGAATCTGTAAATTTAATTACGCTATCAATCTTACAAAAAAATTCAAATTAATGTACATTTTGTTTGACATTAACTTTGTTTTTTTATCTTGGGTACAGCTTTGATGATATAAACACCGAGAAGTTGCGAATGGCAGCAAGATCAAGCCTGGTGGAGAGCGATATGTTCTACCTCGACCCCAAATGCATCGATTGGGAAGATTACTTCATGAACATTCATATTCCCGGCATCGTAAAATACATTTTCAAATGATATAAAAAACCAGCGAATGTTAATTCTATATAGGGTTGTCTTTCCTCAAATCATGCTTTAGTTTGGCGTCATTTGTTATTAAAGACAGCATGAAATTATATATAGCTGTCAACAAAAGTGTTAAAAGAATATCATCAAAGTGTATTTATCGTAGTGTCTTTCAAATAAATATTGTCTTCATGAATATCATCAAAGTGTTAAAAAGACATCATCAAATTATATATGTTCAAGTTTGTGGAATAAGAAGTGGAAAGAGAATTGTCTCTATGTTCATTTATATAATACCTATAATTTCATTTATCCAAAAAAAATCTATCTTCATTTAATTTGTTATCATGCATAGCTTACTTACGTTTTTTTTTTTTTTTACTATAAAATCGTAGTTTGAATATAAAAGAAAAAGTTATAAGTATTAAAAATTGAATTCTCAACTTGATGAGTATTACATCTTATATATAAGTGGCTATATGAATCATTTTAATTACGTTTTTCTTCTTTGGTTTAGGAATGAATATTGGGGAAAAAAAAGGAAAAAAAAAAACAAATGGAATCAAAACTTGTTTCATTAATGTTGCTTCAAAAGGTTGGGCTTGAGCTATGATCAGACGTGAGAAGATAGGGAATTTAGGTTAAGTTAAATCTAGGTTGGGTTTTGCAAAAGGCTCTCAAATTGAATTATATCCGAGTAAAAAAAATGTAATGAGGCCCATTTTATAAGAACCAAACGAAGAGAAATGAAATCAAATCTTAGTGAAATATTTTTGGCCCAACAACCTAACTACTCTGAAGCTTTTGAATTGATGCTTGTGGTATTGTGGGAATAAAACACACTTAATTGGATAAAACTTTCTAAATTAGATTAGGTCTACGAGTAGCGTGAACGAATCTCTTTGTGTTCAAGAAATATAAAAGCTAAAATGGATAGATAATTTAACTTAAATAAATGTCTAAACATAATGTATGTTAAATTAAAGATTTAGTCTAAATAATTCATTTAGCAAAGTTGAAAATTTAATTCGAACTCTAATAAAAAAAATATAATGTATGTTAATATTTGAATAATTGCCTAATTAAAAAGCTGAATTTAAAAAATTTCTTCTAAATAAAAAAAGTACTATGTGGTAATTGTCAAAATTTTGTGAAGAATAGCACTTGCAAGATTGTAAATCGTGCAACAATTAACATATTTTTAAAAGTTGTGGACTTTTTTGTGTCTTATGATCACTTCACTACCTCAACCCTTTGCTGCCTAAAACTTTCTTTTCCAATTTTCAAAGGATAAAATGTGAATTCACATCAAATTCTGACACACCAAAGCAACCATAGTTAAAGGGACATGAAAATTATCAAATTAAGCGGCGCTAATCGTCAAAATGCATCAATTATTGTGCCGGTTGGAATGGGGAACACATGTTGAACTATTTATTTTGGATTTTAATCATTAAGATTATCATTCAAGTAGGCAATTAATTTTGGTTGAGTTTATTTTAATTTGTTTGATTTTATACTTAGATTTGAATGATTTGATTTGGATTAATTTAAATATTTTAATTAAATTGATTCTTTAAATTTATATTGGATTAATTGCTTTTGCAATCATTTTATATGAATTAAAATCTATTCTAATTTAAAGTCTAAAATTTAAAATTTAATTTGATTTAATTTTGAGTCAAAATTCAATCATTTGACTTGTAGGTCTAATAGAAGTTCAAATTAATTTTTTAAACTCAAATTTCAATTTTAGGCCAAATTTTAATTTGAAAGTCTAATTTTATTATTTTTTAATTATTTTTTGAATTAATTAAATTAATTAAAAATTTTAAAAATAAGAAAAAGGAAGAGGACAATGGGAGTCGCTGGCATCCACTGTACGAAGAGCAACATAACTACTTTGCAATCAGTTTGGCAGGAGCCACAAGTAGCCACAACAGTTTTGAATTTTATCAAAATAATACACAGCAAAAAAAGGCAATTCGTGCAAATAGGAAGACCACTAGGCTAAGAAGGAAATTAATCTTTAATTCATTTAAATAAGCAATTAAGTAGATTGTAAAATAAAGGTAAATGAAAAAATATATATTGTTAACATTTTGAGGATAACCTAATGACAAAAAAATAATTTTTCATTACAAATAATATAAATAATTAAATGATGCATAACATTATATGATGAAGACAACAATTTTTGTATATTTATTGAATTTATAAAATAAATATTAAAAAAAATTACAAATAAATTTAATATGGAATACAATTATTTAAAATACTATCTTAAAAAGGCTTATACTTACTACTAACATTATCTTCATCACTTGTGTAAACACCCCATTTTGTCCGAGATTTTTTGTCAATTGAGACTAATCCAAGCTCAGTTGCAGAGATTTTTATTCATTTTTATTTTAGATTTTTTATTTCATATTTATCATTTTTATTTTTATTTTATGATTTATTTTCTTTTTCTTTTTTTTGATTATCTGATTAATTTTAAAAAAAAAATTAAGATTAGGCTTGATGATGATCAGAAAGCATAATTAATTGCTAATTTTTAACAGTGGATGACTAAGTAGAATTGAACTAAAACTCTATAAAAAATAGCATGGTTTTATAAATAAGGGGAGATTCACAGTTTGAAGGGGAGAAAAAAAAAGATAGAAGAAGAATCCGAATAGGAAAGGGGAGGTAGCCAAAGAAAAGGCCAAACAGAAACCAAGAAAAAGGGTACGAGTGAAAGAAAATTGGGAAGAACGGGACGTGAGTTTCCTGGAGGAACTTATACAAGTTAAAGAAATTGCTCTTTTTTGTTCTCCTGCTAACCAAAACAGGCCTCATTTCTCTTCTTGTTTACCACATTTGCCACGGCCACCACCACCAACATCGTCACATCATCAATCTCCGTGTTAAAATAGCAAGGCTTTCTCCTTTTGAAAGTCCCTGAAAATCGTTCGCCCTTTCAGAACCCACCCGTGAAATATTTTATGGAGTTTGCGTGGCAATGTTCTGGTGCCCCGATTGTTCTTGAACCCAGGTTGGTACTCTAGAACTTAGCGACATCGTCAACAACGACTAGATCAGAGTCCAAATAAATGTACTACTCCTTTGACTCCTGTGTGGCTAGTTCACGGTTCTGAAAACGCTAAGAATCTCAAGGTTGAGTGCTTAAAGAAGGAGTTGGGACACATTTCAAAGCAGCTAGCAGGTTTGGAATGAGAGTGTTCATAGTTTAAGAAGGAAAGAAATAAGAAGGATCGGCTTGCATTTATGGATTCAAAGAATGAGGTGAACGTTGCTAATTTTCATAGGTCGAGGGACGATCATCCGATGCAAGTATAGCAAAAACCTCTCTTCATTTGGTTCTCTTCCTTGTCTTCATTGGAACCATCACCATATTTCGAGTCAGGGAACTCTCAGGCAAGGGAACGTGAAGCTACTGGCACCAAGAAAAAAATTTTGAAGAGAAATGACTCTCTTTTATACAAGTACCCTTTTTTATATTTTAATAATCTGAGGTCTGGAAATTACAGTGCTCAACAAAGGAACAGAAGCAATAGAAAACGACGGGGGCAGAAGCTTCTAAAAATCTTTTGCTTTCTCTTTTATGGTATATTAACATAGAAGAAGGGTTTTACTTTTTATTTTTTCATTTTGATAGAAGAAAAATGGGGAAGGTGTATAGTATTTTACAAAGATTAAAGCCAGCAATGGTGATGGTGGTGGTTCAAACAACGTTTGTTAGAATGAATGTGCTGTACAAATTGACAGCAAATGATGGAATGAGCTTGAGGATTATCACTGCCTATAGATTTTTATTTGCGGTTCTTATCATGGTTCCTCTTGCTCTCCTTATTAAAAGTGAGAAGGATAGCAACAGAACACGGGAGCAACTGGAGAAAAGCAGAAAAACAGCAATACCTCTAAATCTGAAAAAACGTTTTCCTTTCCTAACCATGCGGAGGTCGGGGCTGCATAGGCAGCATGAGAGGCAAGGAGAAGAAGGAGAACTAAAGGGAATTTACGCCAAGCTCGCGATTGTTGTCGTGGTACTTTTGATCTGCACACTCTTGCTTTGTTTTCGGTTACAATTAGTGGAAATCGCGGATTTTTCCAACCTTCTGAAATCAATGCAGAAGAACTTTGGGAAAGTGCCAAGGCTGGCGGCTGGAGGCCATCATCTGCTCCAACCACAAATAGTGGGCTTTCCATGCTTATATATTGGCAAGGTTACTAGGGGTCAACAAATGGTCTTCCTCCACAGTAGCAACCTTTACTCGGACTCTCACCTGACTTGCCAATGCCACTTTCCAGGCAACAATCTATGCAATATCTAGCCATGAACGTGTCATTACCTATTACAACTTCTAACTTGCCAGCTTCTCAGTTTTCTAAAAACAGTCAGTTGCTGCCACCCTTTGCTCAGAAGGACGTGGAGACTGTTCGTGTGTCATCTCTAGAATTGACGTTAGCACCAGACATCTCTGCATTTATTCGAAGAAGGGCAACTGCCTATCCTATGTTTGTGATGATAGAGAGGAATACAGTTAGCAAAACCAGCTTCAAGACAGGCTCACCCAAAACCTTAAACCCAAGCCATTCATTAATCAAAACCAAAGCCTTGAGTTGGAACCCATTCAAGAAACAATCTAAGTCTGATTCAGAAAGTTGACTTAAATTAATTTTGATCCGAAATTAAGCTCAATTTTTGGTAAGATATTTTCTTTCCCGTTTTGATTTTTTGGTTGTAGCATGTCATTTATTCACTCATTTTATTTTATGTTTTCATGATTTAAAAACATTGGTTAATAATAAAAATAATAATTTCAAGAAAAAAAAATATTTTTGAGGAAAAGTTGAAAGTATCAATTTTCCTTGAAAATAAGCTTTCCACAAAAAAATATTTTTGGGAAAAAAGTTGAAAGTATCAATTTTTCTCGAAATTAAAGTTTCAAAAGAATATTTTTGGGGAAAAGTTGAAAGTATTAATTTTTCCTGCAAAAAAACAATCATTTTTTTTCTTTTCATTTTTTTTAATGTTAAATAATCCGACGATGGAGCCTCCGCAAGTGAAACAGTAGTTTTCTTGCATACTCTTGAGGTGATGAGAATTTTTTCAATTTTTTGCTAAAAGTATTAGAGTCAATTGAGAATAATTTCTAATGGTTAATTACTTGGTAAAATTTTAAGGTTTATTGGATAACACTAAATTAAGCTGGTATCATCTTTTGATGGGCGTTGTGAGAGTGCTATAACCTTCCTCACACGTAACCGAACTCCCGAACCCTGTT